GGACATCACATCCAAACAAAACCAAGAATGGCAATTTTTTTTTTAAACAAGAAGTAATTAAAGAGAATGAACAGTAAGAGAAAAAAAAAGGCAAATGACCTAGTTTGGTCTTCGCCGCAAAACCCACAATGCTCTGGGGATATCTAAGTATGTTAGGCAAATATTTCAAATCTATCTCCATTTCAAATGTGAGTCATTTCAATTAGACATCTTTCAGTTATTTGTTCATTGGTCTTAATTAGGTAAACGCTGAGGCACTGCAGCATGTTTTTATTGTTGAGTAGTGACCCTTTTGGTAAGTTCTTGCTGTTATCTTAGCCTTAATAGCTAATTTTATCAGTAAGAATGAAATCTTCCTGAGTGGTAAACAAGGTGTTCCTCAGGGAAGAAAGAGAGCTGTTGCCGTTTAGTAGAGGTGTTTTAAATGTTGATCTCACTGTTGCACAAACAGGTTTCCCTTTGTGTGAGGAAATGTTCTGGTTTGTTCTAGGAGAATTTACTCCTAGCAAGAAATGCAGGGCTGACCCTGCAGATCCCCAGCAGTGTGAGCTGTCCTTGCTGAGGTCTGTAGCCCCATCATGGTCAATGGAGCCAAGTCTCACATGATTTAATCTGGCATAAAGCAAGAAAAAACTCCCCCAAAGTCAGTTACCCCAGAATGAAAGAAGCAAAATATCCAAAATTGAACTAGCTTGATTACTCATATGGAAGGAATTGCCTGATTACAGCCTTTGCACACTACTGTATTGACTTCTTCCATTCTCTTCACGAGTGTTTAAACGTAAAGGTATAAATCAAAACTGCAGGACAAAGAGAAAGACAAAAGTTACCTTGATGGATTCCACTTCCATGAGATCCTTCTGGAAACCATTCTGCTTTTATTAGATTTACTCTCTGTAAATTAGGATTAGTTTTTATATGGATTTATGAAATGGCTACAGTGTAGTGCAAGCAGGGTGAACCCCCTGGTCTAAGGCAAGGGAGTATGTGTTCTTTTCATCTGTTATTGGTAAGTTACTGTATGTAGGTTAAAGGCCCCTTGATACCAGTGAAAGAAGAGATCTAGTTCCAGACATGGAAAGTGCTTAAATCTTGTGTGTGCCAGCCAGTTGTATAGAACAGCCAGTTGTCAAAGGGCCACATTCTGTTCTCAGTTACAGGGGTGTAAAGCAGACCTTCCCCCATTTTTGTTGGAGGCTATGAGTTCACTTTCACATCTGCTTGAACAGTTGAATATAGACTTGGGTTGTCTGTGTTGAGAGATAATCTCTAAGGTCTTTTTTAGTTGCTGTGAGAGGGAAAAACCGTGAGCTGCTGGTGTTGTTCCTTGTTTGTCATTGCTCCAGCTCCCATGTGGTGGGCACATGGCAGAGGCTTTGGTGCAAGTGTTACTTCACTCAGGGCACTGTTGTGCAAGAAATAATTAGCTCTTATTAATGAGTTAATGAATTAAGGTACTTTGTGAAGGCAAATGTGTGGTGGATTGGCTGAAACACAGAATTTCACGGATTTAGCCTAAGTGTTGTGTTCCTTTGCAGGGTAAAAAGGTATTTTCTGGCTTGACAGCTACAAGAGAAGGTAATTATTTTTGACAGCACAGGGATAGTGTTCTTGTTATTCTAGGAAATCTCCATCTTCACACAAATGGGTATCAGTGTGTGCTGCAGTTGGTATTGCTGAGCTTTGGTGGAAGCTTCAAGTTTCTGTGTTTTGATAATATGATAAAATTGGTAAAGTACATATTTAGAAATCCCTAATGAATTTCAGACTTGTATCATTTGGGGAATGAAACAAAGTGTTTTATTATGAGTCCTGTATAAACCTGAAACATTTAAAAAGGATCTACAGTATTTTGGAGGGAAGATACATTTGGACTATATACCAGGTAACATTGCTGATGGAAAGAGAGGAACTGTGAATTGGATATTCTGAGTATGATTGATTGACCATCTTCTCTTGGTGGTGTGGCCTTAAAAACCTTATTCACCAGTGTTCAACCATGTATTTAGATACCCTTTAAATGTGATTCTTCTGCCCAAATTAACAACCACAAGTCTCATTACGCAGTCTTGCTAAGGTAGATATTATTCCTAATGTGAATTAAATTATGATGGGTGAATCCAGAATAGGAATGGAATAAAGTCCAATAGAACAGTGTACTGTTCACTATCCAGAGGATATAGTGATAATTTATGTCATGATTACAAGCAAGGCAGAGCTAATCATCAGAAAGACCCACTGAAAGCTGAAAGGCTTCCGAAGTGGTCTGAAAGGTCCAAACCTGCTGAATACAACTGACTGCCCTGCCAGACCAGAAGATGCTGCAGTCCAGCACAGCTTCTTCCTCTCTTCAGTCACTTGGAACAGTCACAGAGTGTTAGTGAGTTCAGGTCTCTGAATATAAATCTGAAATAACTAGAACCTGTATATGTATTACCATGAAGAAGGCTAATGACCCATTTAGTATATTTTAAATGCAAATTTGTTGCTGTTTAAACTCTCATGTGTCATTCCTAAAAATCTTACATAGCTGTTTTATAAATGTTTGTGTAAAATAATGCTGGCCTACACTTCCTGGGACTTATCACATGCCTTGGTGTTGTGAGTGAGCTAGGTAGGAAAAACCCAATATTAGTTTTCCCATTTTAAAGATTCTGGATTCTGAAAAAGTAGACATCAAATAAATAAATGGTCAAGAAATGTAATGTATCAGCCAAGCACGAAAAACCTTTCACTGGAAAGGGGGAACTGTCTTCTGGAAGTGTCACAATAATGCCTCATGCTACTTGTAATTTGGGTGTCACATGTACCCTCTGTTTTCTATGGGTCTGGATACTTGCCTGGGCTACGTCTTCATCTGCCATGGTCTTCCCACTACAATGGCACCGTGGAGCATGATGGGGAGGCTGTGGAGCTTAGCCAGTGGAGGAGAATGGACTTTTGTGCTGTGATTCCTTTCACAAATTCTCCAGTTACCAAAGACCTTTTTTGCCTTCCCCAGTCACCTCTTTCTTCTCATTTATACTGACCAAACCCTATAACATGATTCTCATCATTTTCACAGCATTCATTGACTGTAATTATAGAGAACCACAACTGCTCAGGCTCTTCCACTTGCCTTTCGTTTGGAACAGGGTTAGAATCTTAGAGTCATATAGGTCGGAAAAGACCTTACCATCATCAAGTCCAGCCACTGACCTTGCACTGCTAAGTCCACAAGCATTACCAGGTGTCCATAAGAGGAAATGTGGTTTGGATATAAGGAAAAAATTTTTCATGAGTGGTGCGGCACTATCTCAGGTTGCCCAAAGAAGCTGTGGCTGCCCCATCCCTGGAAGTGTTCAGGCCAGGTTGGATAGGGCTTGAAGCAGCCTGGTCTAGTGGAAGGTGTCTCTGCCCATGTCAGGGGGATTTGGACTGGGTGATCTTTAAGATCCTTTCCAACCCAACCCATTCTGTGATTCCATACTGATATATGCCTGCTCTGCATAATACCACAAATTACAGTGTTGAAATGGTAGAAGCTGTGCTGGCAGTGGCAGGTCCAGTGTGGGTTTCAGTAGAAGGACCAGACCTGAGAGCAGTATAAAGCAGGTTATTTGTGGTGAGGTTGTTTGTAAGTCCTGTGGCTGCTCGGAGGGATTTCATTTCACACTTGTGCAATTCTCTAAAAGTCAGATGAGAAGAGGAAAGCATGTCCTGGAGTTGCATGAGCCCATCTTACACTCCCATTTTGGGATGGCTGAATGACATTGTCTGGGTAAAATGCAGAGACAACAAAACTGTGGTGAGGGGAATTGTGCCTTGTAACGCCTTAGTAAAGGACAAACTATGATGCTTGTGAGACTCATCAGTTTGTGTGAAACTGAGCACAGGCTTTATGTTTTCTGCCATTTTGACTGCAGAATTTGTTTTCTTCTTCAGTATGTGACACTCAGTGCCATCATAGAGAATAGACTCACTACACTGCAGTTTTGCTCACCATCAGCATTGGCTCTGTATGAAAACTGCAGAGCTATTCTTGCCTTAGTATCTGACACCGTTACGTTTTGTCTGATGGAAAAAACAGATTTGAGGGAGCTCTGTTATTTTAAAAACATGATTCATCTACAGTAGGGAAAATGATGTTAAATGCCTGTTGTGACTCTTTTAGCTTACCTCTGAAGGCTAAATTTCTTACAGATACTTTTTTGCATACTTATCTATGAGTATTTGGCTAGTTCACTAGAGGTAAAGAACACAACTAACATGCTTTAAATTCAGGGGAATTGACAGTGTTTAACCAATACAGTCTAAATTCCCAATTCCCCCTTTGTCCTCTCTCTTTAGCTAGACTATAGCTTCTTGTTTGAGATACATGTATTTCTGAAAAATATTGCTATAGTTCTAGCCTGTTTATTTTCAAGTCTGGTAAAATGTACTATTTACCAGAGCAGAATATATGAGTATTGGCATTAGCATTTATAATAATAGCTTAGTTGGAAATACAGTTAAATGTATAAATTGAAACAAAATCACTTAAACTTTTTCACACTGTTGACCTGTCAGTAAAGTAGAAACATGCCCATCTAAAGTCATAGTCACAGAGATAATTGTCTGCAAATAAAAACTTGACTTACGTCACTGTTTTGAGAGCATGCCTTGTCCTGAAAATAAAGGGACTCTGAAACATCCTTCTCCAAAATCTAACACGGGCAAGACTCTACCATAAAAATACACAGAAGGGAAGGGAGTCACCTTGTTTGAGGTAGATCATGAAGTGCAAAATAGCCACAAAACTTAAAATGAGAAATAAACAACATAGTTCACAGATCCAAATTCCTTTGCAATTGATTTTTGCTTCCTTGTGAAACCTGTCATTTCCACTGACTTGTCATTTGCAAGAATTTTGGAAGGAGATCCAAAATGAGTATACGAAGTAGTAGTCACTAGTAATAGTCAGCATAGAGAGTTCTTAGTCAAAGGCTTATCTTTTTATTTTTTACTTATTCTTTTGACAGTAAACGGTGGCTACAATCATTGTAATTTGATCTCTGAGAAGAAGGACATGGAGATGACAAGTAGTTCAGTACCTGTCTGCAGACAAGGTCTGTTCATCCACACAGGAAACTCACTCATGCGAGACCACCCACTGTCCTGCGAGCGGCTGCTCCATGTCGGTCAGCTGAACCTGACGCACTCGGATATAAGGTATCGCTCCAAGTTTTATCAGTTGATGTACTTTACTCTACTCGAGTGCTGCTCTCTTGGAACTGTTTCCTAGTAGCATCTTGGGTGCTACATTTGGAAGAGTATTTTTGGCTTCCACTTCCTTTTTGGAAGTTGTTTGGTTGCTGATTTAACCTCACTGCTGGTTTGCAGGTTCAGCCTTCAGGGACATGCACGTGTGCACAGAAAACTGCCAGGGCAGTGCCAGGAGGAGTCACTGCTTGTGCAGCCACAGCCCCTGAATTGAAGTGTAAATACAGCTTCGCTGTGTGGGCTCTTCCAGCATGCTCAAAAGTAGATGAGAGTTTTGCTAGGGGCTTCAGTAGGGTCAAATTTGCCTTGTCTGTACCTCCACCCCAATGCCATTGGTGTTTCCAAATTGCAGCCTGGAAGGGATGATACCTACTCCCAACCCAACTTCTCCCATGTGGCAATTTGACATGCCACCATCAAACCTACAGGAAACCAATGCCACTTTTCTTTCTACAGCATTTCCTCTAATGAAGTATTTTCAGTGTTCCCATACAGCCACATCCTTGGTATTTGCTTTTAAGGCCATAATGTGAAAATTTGGTCTCTGGTTTTGATATATACACTGTAGTTGGATATGCTATGAACAGAATCTCTATTTAAACATTTGCTATAAATTAATTATATGAAAACACAGAACTCCATTATTTTTTTGTTGTTGTTGTTACAAATTTAACATTACCAGATTTTAAACAAGTACCCTAAACAGACATCCATTGTGAATAGAAGCCTGCTACAAATTAAAATCTGTCCATCTATTTTAATTACACTGCTTTTTGGCAGGGAATGTAATACAGAATAATCTTGACCTTTTTGAAGAGCTGTAGAAAAGAAAAACCTCAATAAAGTTGCAGCCTTTATCTTAGGTACTTGGAATAATTGGCACTCTGTGCATGGAACTATCAAGCCCAAATTTCCATAGTCACAGCAAGAGGAAATATGGCCTACAGCTTGGTCTTGAAAAATCTGACTGTTTCTGATTTTATTATACATGCTTATGTCTTGTTTCCCCTTTTCCGTGTACTGGTGAGGTAAAAACATCTGTGTTTTCAGGAGAAGGAGGCACGGTAATATGACAAGCAAGTGGAAAGCTGTTTGTATGTTTGTTTGTTTCTTTGTTTGTTTGAAAAGGACAAATAATATCCATACAAAACAATATTCTGGTATCACTACAAAGATTTGAGGATGCCTTCGCAGCTGGATGGAAATCTTCTCCCTCCTGGCTTCTTTATGGCTCAATGTGGGATTGGTAGTTACCAACCTTTTTTTTACTCTGTCAGTGAGGACAATTACGAAACAAAGATAATTAGGGCAGGAGCAAACAAAAGGAGGAAGAGGGTACTCTGCTTAGATCTTTTTGAACCTTTTTGTGCAATTTATAATGAGGAAATGACAGATACCTGCATACCTGGCATCACAGTACCCACCCTCAGAAATATGAACCCCCTCTAGCCCTCATTTGGGAGAGGATTCCCAGAACAGCATAAAGGATTGTGTGCTGCATAACATGAGAAAGTAGCAGGTGATAAGCCTCATTCCCTCCCCTTTGCTTTGTGGCATGGTCTAAAGCCTTGAGGCTCTGCTGCTTCTAATTTTGGAAAGGTTTGGATAATATCTTGAAAGACCCTTCCATTCCATTGCAGGTTGTTTGTGTGGCCCACTGGTTATGCTCTGCTTGTATGTCCACCTGGCTAGTAGTGCTTTTGTCTGCATAGGATTTGCATGGTAAAATCAATGCCCAGCTCTGCTCTATGGACTTCATAGACACAGTGTCTAATTACATCACTGTGCTACTCATGAGACACATGATTCAGAGCCAAAACCTTGGCATTTGAGGGAAGGTGGGCAGCATGTAGGGTGATTTCTGTTCATGGTGTTTGTGATGCTAAAGGTTCTTGACAAGCAAGTAACAGAAAACATGGTCTTTCCTCAAGGATCTGAAAACAGGGGAACGTAACTGAGATGGGGGTGCAGTGAATGCCAGCAGTGAAATCAGAGGGAACCAAGGATGCTCTGTGCCTCCCCAGATTTCAGCCTTCATTAGAGAACAGATGAGAGAAATGGAGCTGTAATGGACAGATACTGGAGCACACAGAAGTCAGGGCAAATTGTCTTTGGTTGTTCCAGCCAGCTCCAGTGACCAGCACAGAAATACAGGGAGATACAAATTCAAACAATCTCTCTGGGTTGAACTTTGAACCACTTTGCATTTCTAGGATATGGAACATCCAGGGAAAAGCCAGACAAACCAGAGAGCACCTCCCCTAGCAATCAAAAATCTCCCTCAGGATTTGGGGTTATGATCCTTTTTCCCCTCAATGCACTGAAACTCGTTAGCCCCTTCAGCTTCTCCCTGAATGGGTTTCTCTTGGAAGCAGTATTCTAGGGATGACTGCCTGAATCCAAGAATCATCATCCCTCTTCTTCCTGGCCCTTTTCCCCCTCTCAGTTAATAGCTTTCATGTTCTGCAGCGTAATTGCTGCTACATGCTATCTGTGACTGCAGTGCGTGTGGGACTGGAAAAGTCCTAATACCTTCCTGACCACAACTGGAGTCAGCACACAGCTAACATTTGGCCTTTTGTCAAACCATCCATTATCAGTCACGGCAAACCCTCCCACACCGTGCTCAGTGCTCAGTGTGTAAAAGCCAGGGAAGACATCAGAGCAGTCAGATAGAATTGCACAGGGTCCCTGGATGTGCAGCAGAGCAATCCCCTCTAGCTCCTTAAAACTGTCAGTTATCAGGAATTGCACATTTACAGTGGCAATTGAAGGCATGTATGTTTTGTAAATAATCTGGAGATTTCAGATCCAGTCATCTTTTCCTCTGAGGGCAGTTGGGAACTGCAGTGCTTCTGGCATGGTGCTACTGGCCTCGTGCTCTGGCTCCAATTACCACGTAAGGGAGTCTCTCTGGAAACACTGCCCTAGTATCCTCTGAGAGGCTGCTGTTACTCTTCAAAGGCCTTACACTCAGTTTTCATGTGCTTAAGCAGCAGTTCTGTTCCCTCACACTATCCATCCCTGGTGTATGGATGCTCCCTATGAAGAGAAGTCTCCTGCTGATCCCACTCCTTTCCAGGGCTGCTTATCTGGAAGCACTCCCGGAGCTGCTCATACTGATCTGTGTGTCCACACAGTGCCCCTTATTGCCCTGTTCTCCTTTGTTCCTCTCATCTTGGCTGTTTATTTCATATGCATTTATATTTGGCTACTGTCCAGAAGATCCAGTGAAATCCTTACAGCCAGCACAGCCTGTGTGTACCAGATCTGGAATCTGATCCCTGGCTGTAACAGCAAGATGCAGCAGCAAATAGTCAGTGGGTATAAGAGGAACCACCCAGCCAGTTGGGTGCCAGACACCTCGTTTCGCTCTTGCATCAGATTGTTTCTGTGCCCCTCCTTTCCCCAAACCTCCCAGAACTGGGAGGAATGAGTGGGGCTTTCCCTAGAATAATGATGATAAAATTCTGCCAGGAATATTGGAACTTTGCAATAATGCAACCTTGACATGAAGTATCCAACACTCAAGCATTGGGAAATTGAAGGAATGCCAGATTCTCCCAGCAGAGTTAGCTAACACAGGATGCATAATGTATATAAATATACAGTGCTGTGGAGAAGAGGAAAGGACTTGTTTCTGATCTGCACAAGCAGCCTGTGCTTATCATTTTGTAGGCAGAGCATGGATAAGACATGGCTGTAGAAATGGGAAACATGAATTCAGTGCCTTCATCTGTTTTGCTTTTGAAGTATTCCAACGTGCCTTTTGATTTGAAGCTCCTCTTTTTTTTTCAGTGTCATATGCTACACAGCAGCATCACTTAAATACAGTCCTGACTCAGAGTAAGATCCTGTGCTGGAAATGCAGATCGATATTCCCATGAGTTTTGTGAAGCTTATATTTCTCAGGACAGGGATGTTTGCACCCATGCTGCAGGTACTGTGCACTGACTCCAGCTTAAGTCAAAAGCCAAGCTCCTCACATGGATTTCTGGCAAGATCAGAGCTTTACATAAAGCTTAATAATATGACACCAATTATCACAGGCTGAAATGTAAGGCTTGGGTTAGCTTTATATGATGTAGGAAATGTGTTGTGTTTACTTAAGCCTGAGGCTTTGGGACCACTAAACTATGATACAAACTGAATTATTTAGAAGAGTTTTCATACAGCAGAAAGTAAGTAATAGGAAATATTGTGCCTGGCATGGCATGCTGTAAAGCCTTTCTCAGAAGGAGTTTAGAGTGCCAAGCTTTCTACTGAACAAGCAGAGCTGGGTTTCCCAAACATGTGCAATAAAAGTATACTTATGCCACATACTTTACAGACATATGGTTCTGTAAATGTTAAAAAATAATGGCTGAATACTGTTGGGTTTGGGGTTTTTTAAAATATAAATTTACCATCTGCAAAAACAGGTGCTTTAAGTTTACCCTGAGACCAACTGTGCAAACCTAAGGGGAGAAATTATAACTAATGCTTTATGGAAACCTCTAAAATTGTCAAATGCAGTCTTTTAAAATTTCTGGTGGCAAATGCAAGATCTGATTGTTCCATATCAGTGAATGGTGGGGAATTCCACTTCTCTCATGACCCTGAAGAGGTTTTTTATGTCAAGCCTTACCGGCTGCAAACTGCTGGAGCTTAGAAACCTGTCACTAGTGAATGCAGTGTTGCCAACTGTGTGCCTTGGACAGGTGTAATTTTTTGACAACATTAGTTTCATGGGAAGGAAGTATTTTTGAAGCTTTTTATTTTTGTTATATTATTTTTCTAATTGATCATTCCTTGAGACCTGTTACCAAGGAAGCATTAGAAGTTGTCCCAGCTTCCCCTCTTAAGTAGTGGATGAATTGAAATATAATGATGAAGTCATCTAAGGTATTAAATAAATGCAATTTATTCAACAGCTTCACAGCATATATATCCAAAATACCTTATGTATATGTGTTTTGTGCTTTAAAGTGTGTCAGATCTGCCGTAGCTGCAGTGTCACACATAAGTTGCCAAATGGCTGTATTTTCTTCAGCTTTTGTGGTGCTAGCATCAAAAAAGCATAAAATTCATTGAAGTGGAACATGTCAGGCTAAGAGCCATGGGGCACTTCTCTGGAGGCTAGTTCAGGTACAGCTTTCCTGCACACACAGATGTACTGTTTCCTTTTCTCAGCCTGGCACATCACTGCATGATGAAGCCATAGGTTAAACCCTCCCATGCTTTAGGGATGTGTAAGGAACACCCTCAGGTCCTAAGAAAAAACACACAGTCGGATCATCCACAGTAAATGTTTATAGCTGAGATAAAATGTTTTATTTTAAGTCATAAACCAGTTGCTAACTGCTGGGAAGAGAACGTCAGGAGGAAATGTTTCCTAAATGCAGTGTTTTTCTGAAAGGTCTCGGTGGTGTTCCTCAAGGTTCTGCTTCCTGAACGAATGGATTCAGCACACATCAAAAAAGATGAAAAATCACTTCTGCAGAACAAGCTTACTTTGATTTATAGACCCATGCACACTTTATGATGAAAAATGGAAATGGGAGTACGTGGGCTGCCAGTGAACTTTGTGTTTTGTAGAAGTAAATACTCAACTGATCTCTCATCGATTCCGGACCACTGGTTGGAAGCAAGGAGTCCTTTCTTTGCAGTCCCTTTTTTCCTCACTGATCTTGCTCCTTTTTTAATTTAGCCGAGGAAAGCATGTCCCTGACATGTAAGCAAAGCTCAGCTAGCCTTGTTTGATTCGTGTGAAAGAGAATGCCAAGGCATTTTCCCAGTGTGCTCTGAGGAAAATGCTGATATTTGAATAATTCAAAAATGCCCAAAGCTCTCAAACTTCATTCTCAGCTATTGTTTTGCCCGATCTATTATGCATTGAAAGCCTAGATTGTGATTGATGAACTGCCTGTAGCAGTGGAGGGGAGATTGTCTGTTCCGTGTGTAACCCAGTGTGTAAAATTAATCCTGTGTAAAATGATGCTGCCTGTACACGGGTTGTAGAGGAAGCATTGCAGATTTTTTTTGTGTAATTGCTGCATTAGACAGGCAACACTCAGCAGAGGGCAAGTGCTTCCATTCTGCAGGGCTTAACAAGTGTTGTGTCTTGTGCAAAAATCATCAATCCTGTGGTAGTTAGCGATGCTTAATGAAAACTGTATTACAGGTCACCCAGGTTTCAAGACTCAGTAGATTCTGCTGCTCCATGCCTGAATGGAAGTCACCCGGCTCAGCACATTAAACAAGAATGCCCGAGTGATTATAAGGTTCTGTCTGAGGCTTCCACACATAGGAGGATTACGGAGGGGATGGAGCTGAGAGCCTCCGGTAGTCTGCATCCTGAACTAGACCTAATGAATAATAGCTTTACAAATTCACTTTCATCCTACTTGTTTAATAATGAACACAGCTCCTCCCTGGGTCCTTTGTCACTTGGCACCCCTCAGCACTCGGCCAGGCTGCAAACAAGCAACCTGAAGAAGAGATGCATCTCCGTCGTGCCGTCTTCAGCCGAAGGAATCGATATTACAGCTATCATCCGCACATCACAGACGTCACTGGTCACCTGTGTGAATGGACTGCGAACTAATTCAGCTGGCATTTCCTCTCATCCTGTGGAGATCAGTCATCACAGTGCTCAAAAATCCTCTCGGCCCCAGTCTTGCTCTCAGCCTGGAAACCCTTGCAGCATTCCCTCCCCTCCAGCATGTCTTGTACCTATTTCCGCTGAATGTGACAGAGGTGACTGTGAGCAGATACAAATGCAGCAAGTCGAGGAAAATGGAAGCCTCAGCCTTATGATGAATGGTACTAGCATTGCTCATCAAAACACCTCACACAGCAGCCAGAAGGTGAGTTTCTTAAAACAAGAACCAGCTGACGACTATTCCTCCACTGCTGATCTTTTTCGCCATCACCAGGGGCTGCCTCCCCCGTACCACCTCCACCAGCAGCTAAGCCAGACCCAGGGGACACTGCCTCACCTCAACGCCTCTATGTCTCCCAAGTCCCTCCAGCCCAGCGATGGGGATGAGCAGGACCTCAGCAATGGCAAGCAGGTCTGTCAGTGGATTGACTGCAGTGCCACTTATGACCAACAAGACGAACTGGTCAGACACATAGAAAAGACTCACATTGACCAGCGGAAAGGAGAGGACTTCACTTGCTTCTGGGCAGGCTGTGTCCGCCGCTATAAACCCTTCAATGCTCGTTACAAACTGCTGATTCATATGAGGGTTCATTCTGGAGAAAAACCAAACAAGTGCATGGTAAGTCTGGATTATATTTGTTTGAATAGAAACATAACTGCTCTGCTCTCTTTCTTGCTCTTTCTTCGATCTTATTCCAATGTAATTGTTGTGCTTTCCTGTAACTTAGTCCGTAGCAGGCTAAAGGGGAATTGGAGGAAACCTTAATCTAGAAGGAAATGATTGAGTAAGAAATACTGTAGTTCTTGGAAAAGGGATTCAGTTTCCTTATATGAGAGCTTAACTTTTAATACAGTGCTTTGTTTTTTTAATATTCATTAAAGCACTAATAAAGTGATGATCAAAGCATGCAGCCGTCACTTAACGTAAAACAAAGTCACTGAGACTCGGGTGACATTTTTAATCAAGAAACATAAAACACATCTAATGAAATTCTTTTCATTCCTTCAGCTGAGCAATAACCCATAGAGTTGTGAGTGCAAAAGTTTCAAATGGTAGTTTAGAAAAGAAAGCCCAACTTGTTAAAGGATTTTAAACAGTTAAAAGAATGAAAAGAATATATTTAATTACGTTTTCAAAGGTTGTTAGGGGCTTTTTTAATTTGCAAAACAGAGCTTTAAAAATAAGTAAAAACCATTGTTCTCTTCTGATCAAGAAGATGTAAACAACAGCAGTGTTCCAAAAAGAGGATCTTGGGAATAACACCATCCCTGCATCTGCCCACCATGATGACAATATGGCCAAACTAAAATAAAAGTTAATGACTTCCATTAAGCTTTCCACATGTTTGAAACAACAATGATATAAGACGCTGACTGAAACAGATGAAGCAAAACAAGTTTGACATAAGCTTCCAAATTGGGCCATGAAATTTGGAAAGTCTTCTTTGTAGCACCCACACGCGTGTGCATGCGCGCACACACACACACACACACCGCACACACCAAACACACAGACACACACACCGTACATACAGACACAACACACACACACACAACACACACACACACGCAACACACACACCAAACACACAAAACACACAGACACACAAATCAGCACAGACAAAGGGAATGGCTGTGACAGCAGGTCGTGGCTCCTGATAGGCACAATTCTCAGCTATATGTCTATTTTCTTGTTTTGATCAGAGAATGATCTAATGGAAAATGCTTGTAAGGAAGTTAGTTCATGACAAACTTTTCCATGGCAAGCCATAGCTTTCTATGGAGGATTAGGAAAGAATGTTTATTTAAAAAGCTTACTTTTTTTTTTGTATTTGTTCAAGAAAAAGCTTGCAGGCTTGTGATGGTTATGGAAGGAAGAAGGAAGAAAACAGCAGGATTCAAAATGTTTTGCAGGGAAAAACTTCCTCTGTGGGTGATCATCCTGATTATCTATCTACTTCCATTGGATAAGCGAAAAACATTATCTTAATGTCTGCACTGTTCAGTGGGTATTCCCTAAAATAGTACTGGAAACAGTGCACAGTCGTAAAGAGCACCATCAAGTTGTCCAGAATAAAATGGAAAACAGTCTTAAGACTTAGCTGTTTCTTTTTCCTTTGAGAGAAAGAACTGACTTGTTCATTTCCAGCAGCAGCTCAATCACATTTTGTAAATGTACAAATTAATGTAAGTTCCTATGCGTAGCTTTTATTTAGTCATAAATCATCAAAAGATAATGCAAGTTAGTTGCTTCTTTCCAAACAGAAAAGTATAGGTAAGTAAGCTATGAAAGCATACTTAGAGATTTTATTTTATCCTACTTTTTGCGTTTTTTTTTGATCTGGAATGAGATCAGTTTTCTTCCTACTTTTATCTCACACTTTTAAGAAGAAGTACTTAAAATGTGAAGCCCTGATTAGCTTTTCTATGATGCTGAAAGATTTAGTAGACTCTCTGGATGAGGCACCTTCTGTCTTTCTCTGCAAAATGGATGTTTGACAGGCGTTGTATAGCAGATTTCTAGTGTTACATTCCTATTCCTACAGAAAACTGGGTAAACCAGAGACATTAAATCATGCAGTATCTTAGTAAATGCTAAAAATTTCCTAGTTTCAGTTGAATTTTTGTCTGCATTAAAGTACTGACTTTGGATAACATCCCAAGATTCAACATTGTGAATAGGTTGGAAAAACCTTTGCATCTGATATTGCAAACAGCCTTCATGGTGTATGTATATAGCCTTGGCATGTAAGTGTATAAAGATCTGTTTTATTGGAGCAGGTTTTGTCATTGTTCCCATACATGGAATGGCCCAATTACAATTAGGAGCTTTACACTGCCCAGCTTGGAGTTAACTCCTCCATTCCCAGAGTAAGAGCCTTCCACTGTCGGCAGAGGTATCTTGTGTTAAATGTTACATCTGTAATCCTGCATGGAGCAAAGCTGGATCCAAGGGAGCACATGAAAAACATGTCTTCTTTAGCAAATTAAGTTTTCTACCTTGGAAAGACCTTGCTCTAGCAGGGGCGAGATGCAAAGCTGCAGCACAGCTCCTGAGAGTTATTAATATCAAGTGGGGATTATTTGCGCTGCGAATTCCATTCCACTTTACACAAGGGTTGCTGTGCAGTGTTGCATTGTGCAGTGATGTGATGTCATTTTAAATGATGGCTTTTCTTTTGATGTGGTAATAATTGTGCTGTTATTCCTGCAAATTAAGAAGGCAATTCATTCTCTGTCTATAGAGGTCTGAGATTTTGTTTCGGTTCTGCTGTAGCTCCGTTAAAGTAACTTTACATCTCTTGGTATTTGTAGTGGAGATTTTCTTTCGCTGTTCACAATTACCCATTGTACTTTCTTTTTAAGCCCTTGATTTTGTTCTTCTCTGTAAGATTACTGCCTGACTAGGTATTGAACTGCTCAGGAGAAGCCAACAGCGAGCAGCACTCCTCCCTCATACATAAAAGTACTTTTTCATGTAAAATTATTAATTTCTTATGACAGGCTTTGCTACTATGTACTGTAATAGACAAAGGAATTTTGGAATTCAAGCTACTTGAGAACAGGAAATACATGAGACATTTTGATTGAAAAGTAAATGGTTCACTAAAACTGCAGTTAATCCTTTTATTATCTTTCCAACAGCAGTTTCCACAATACTTTCATGAGGTAAGCTCCCTTCAGTCCAACTGTAACACTCTCATCGTTGCAGCTGGTTTGAATTTAGCCAGCCTGCTTCTTTCTTTACTACAGACAGTCGACAGGCAAAACAGGATCTGGGGTAGAGCACTACTTGATGTTTTGGGTCCATATTCTACTCGCTATGTTTCGCTGCCAAAACCAGTACTATGAGTATTCTGTTTTCATATTCCGTTAAATATTCTAATTAAGCAGTGCCTTCTCATCATTGTGTCCCTCAGTTTGGTTTTTCCTTGGGCTCTGCAAGTAGTCTAAAGGAAACTACCTAATCTCTTTGCAATATCCTGTTATGTTTCATACTTAACTCATGTTATTTTAGTTTTATTAAATTTGGGGTTCATCTGCATTATAATCAAAAATATATCCAACAAAAATAATGATGCAATGCCTTTAAGACTTTAACTTCTGAAGATTAATTTCATGCTTTTTTAGATTTGATGTCCCAGACAATTGGAATTTTGATTGTCTGAGACAGCAAAAATTAGCAAGCTTAAATGGTTTTTATTTAAAAAAAGAAGAGAAAAAGTTTCTCATAGCTGCATCTTTTTCTGCCTCTCAGTTCTTCAAATAATTTGGTGAGTAGAACTGTGCTGATCTCCAGATATTGCATCCTCAGTTTAAGCCTCTGCTTGCAAATGTAAATATAGAGCTGCTCATTTAGTTGTCTAGAATTGTTTGTTTGGACAAATCTGTACTTGGCTTATTAGTTTACCCTCTTGCACTCTTGTGGCTTCACAAAGAGTAGGAAATTATGTTCCCATCACTGCGTGCATATGTGCTCAGGGTCCTCCACAGGCAGGCTCAAGGGAAATGTATTTATCTTTACATAATTTATATATATGCAAATAGTGTTTATAGAAATTGGGTATTGTAACCTAGGTGATATCCATGAAAGGTTCTGGGCAGGGTAATCTTTATTGTTATTGTGTCTCCAGTTCATGTATGTCAAAGAACAAATGCCACCTGAGTGTGTTCTAGACCTGTCACATTGTGTGCTTGTCTAGATAGTTAAGACTTTGAAGCAGAATCTTTTTTTCATGTATATATGCAACATAGTCAGTTTGGGAGTAGCCTGAAGGAATTATTTGGGTGCACTGTATTGTGCACAGTGAAATTCAGCACCTGTGCTGTTTGTAGTCAGTTCTTTTGAATCCCTAGGGGTGAGACACTATAGGTACTGCATTAAACATGGGGAAATTGAGACAGAGAAGATAAGTAACTTGCCTAAAGGCATCTTTAGGCAATTCCAGCATTCCAGTGCAGATCTTGTATTCAAATCACTACATCACACAAACCAGCCATTTGCAATTTACCTGTGAAACAGCTTTTTGCACAGATCACACAAAAGATAGCAGGTCCAGCTGAACCTCCCACTAGTTTCACTGCTCATCTCTGACACAGGTGGTTTGACATGTCATGAGGTGTGAAAGCTTTCTTCAGAAGGCTCAGCCACATTTGTAACACTTCATGGGCAGCAACCTGGTTATGAGGAGCACAGGAGAAAGGGCCTATTGAGCAGATTAGTATCATTGCTTCTGCTGCTAAGGAAACCAGTGTGGAATCTCCATTCTGAGTAGATAGCGAGTATTATGCCGTCCGTGGCTCGTGGGGAGCATGTGTCTAGCAGTGCATGGAGACTAATGAGATCTCTACAGGCTCCAGCTACAGAGGAGTCTAAGGGACAACCCTGCATCTGCGGGCAAAATAGATATGCATTCACCAGCTTATACATTTCTGAGTTACTTCACCTAAACAATGAGTTTCCATGCCTGACTCGAGGGAATGTTGTGGAAGTCTGGAAAGTATTTTCAGCTTTTGGAGTGGAGGGTGTCATGCACTGATGCCAAAGGAGTGCTTTAAAAGAACAACAATAATATTAGGCTCACTTTCTTTCCTTTGAAGTCAATAGTAGGAAACATC